GGAGAGATGATCATGATGAAGAAACTGGGACCAAAAGGAGCAAAATTCAAATGTCGATGCATAACTATGAAATCAAATCAATATAAATCCTTCTAACAAACGTACGCCAAATTTCATGTTATCATCTTTCTTGAAATCATGGACCATAAAAATATTTGGGCTACCTTTTCTGCTTAAACACAGAAAAAAATCACTTCTTTACGGTTGATAGACATGTACAAGGGTAATCCTAATGAAAGATTTGCCAGTTTTGTTTTGAGATTTAATTGTACACAGCCCTGATCACAGATCTGACTTCTTTTTACCCACCTCCCTCTCTCCTCTTACTACTGATGTTCCCAAGCACGTTGCAAGAATATGCTGACAATAATTTGAACTATGGTGACGGACTTTAATAGAAGGCTAGTCAAATCTAGTTTATAACTGTGTTCCTTTACTCCGGGGTAGGCCTCCCACTTTTTAACTAACCTCGCAGCAACATTCTTCAGACTTAGCACCAGTCTTTGATGCGATTCGCCACTCGTCTTTTTTATCACTTCTGCCCAGTATTTAGATAAACATATGTGTTGCCATGGCAGGAAAGCAGGGTGCAAGGCGTCAGTTAATCCACCAACACTTGGGACATGAAGAATCCAGTAGAATTTTTACTCCTTTGCGAAAGCAAAAACAAATAAACGATCGTATAGATCACAACAAACATGTGGTTGTTGACTTAACGCTTGTTCTTACGATTGAGTGTGAGCTACACCGGCATTTTAAACAATGTATCAGTTCACCACCTGTCCTGACTTATTGCGACAAATGCAGGTATCCGAGCGAGGTAAGTACCTGAGCACGGCTTGTTGTTTTTGTTCAGTGTGTGAGGAAGGATTTGATACGCTACTTAAGTACTGCGGCTTCGATTTCGGCTGTATACAAAAAGCTTTTCCTCTAATTCGATTATCGACTTCTCGGGTGCACAAGAATTTGCATTCTTGGGTGTCGGCACCTAGAAAGCCATGGGGCATGTGTTAACGAGGTAATTCTTGGGTAGCCTGAATTAGCTGTTTTTTTGTGTGTGTCAGACGTTTGGAGGTGCTTCTTGTTCGGTTGAATTACACTGGAGACAGAGATAACATGACTCAGTGTTTTTCTCAGGACGACTTGGAGAGGCCACAACTATATCTGAACCCCGGCTACTTTCCATTCTTATAGATTAAGACTTCATATGTATTTGGTGGGCTGTTTTTAATACCCAGAAAAGAACAATTGTTTAGCTACAAAACATGGACTATTCTTGTGTACCCTGTGAGGCAAACAATGGTAACTAAGTTAGTAACCACCAGAATTTGGATCGACTCTGCCAAACATTATTTCTTTTTAAGAACATTTTTACCCGATGCGCAAGAAAACGCTACTCTGAGGACCTTTCAAGGCACACACTGTCCCTTCATAACCACTATTTTTATTATTTAACTAAATGAGTTTTCCGATACTAATATCACAGGGAGTATTGGGGAAACTTTCTTTCAATCTCTGTGGCAACTTGAATTACTGTTCACACTGGACTAAAAAAAAAAGAACTATGGATGGGAATAGAGAAATGTGAGTAGTCTTAGCTTGCAAAAAAACTCGAGCACCACCCCCTCCCAACACCCCCCCCACACACACACACATACACACACAAACACACACACACACACACACAAACACACACACACACAAATGTTGAGAAAGAGTCTGTATTCTGATCACACAAATTTGTTCATAACCACCTTCCACACGTTTCCCGCCCTCCCCATGTAGACGTGAGTCTATATTACCCTGTACCCGGCGGACACTGGGCAGGCGAGCTGACCAAATTAATTTGTGGCCAGTTTTTCCAGCCGGGCCCTGCTCAATTCCACCACGTGACTATATGACTACAGGAAAAACGCTTACTTTCAGGATCGGATAGAAATTTTTATTCATATATGTACATGTCAGAAACAACGATACAGACTTCAGCAATGACGAAAAACTCTATTCATGAAATCGAGAAGTAACATTTTTGTGGGTAATTGTGGTCCCAACAGTCGCATGATCTGTCTGCAGGTTGATCCAACAAATTTACAATGCTACGGTCAGACAGACAACGACAAAGCAAACAACCGAATAAATAGATAAATCATTTCATTTCCACTTCACATACAAATATATTTGGGTTTTCGCTACGGTTCTAATTTCGACAACACTGAGGGATTGTTGACAGTCTGAGTCAGTATTGACAGCAGCAATACATGACATATTAGTGAATGGTGACTACTTGCAACTTTCTAAATTAGATCAATTCCAACACATGTCCTCTACTCGTACATATTGTTGCTTTTGTCTTTAATACTCCTACATCTTCAAGTCAAAATGATTTCCCATGAAATGCTGTCACAGCTTACTAAAACATCATGACTTTCGTGAAATGAGGACGTTTATAAAATATTATGTACATTCTGGGAGAATAACTTTGTTTTTCTCTGTGTTGAC